ACGCGGTCTCCCCCGCGAATGTGCCCTTCTAAGCGGTTCTCTCGGGCCGCGCGGACGAGGCCGCTGCGCGCCGCTTGAGCGCGCGCGCGAGCGCCTGCGATAATGACCCCGCCGGCGGTGGCATGGCGGATGGCACTCGGCTTCCCGCTCGCCCCCACCATCACCAATGCGGCGCGCGCGTCTCCAGACCGGGCGGCTCGAAGACCGATCGCGTAGCACAGGAATGAAGTGAGAGCCTTCATCGCGCCCGATTTCGCATTGAATGCGCTCAGAAAGTCGCCTGCGTCGCAGGCGCTGCCCCGCAAAGGATCGTCGTCGCAAGTTTCCCTGCGCGCGCTTATCCCGATCACCTGCGGTCGGAGCGCCAATCGGAGTTCCTCCTCCGCAGCTGGCATCGCATCATCGGGGAGCGCAGGTGCCCCCACCATCTCGTGGTCCGAGTCGGCGGGCACGCGGTGGCCCTCGGTGGCCTCCGCGCGCGCAGGTTGCCCCGCGATGGAAGGCCCGGCCAGTCCGCAAGGTCGATCTCGCCGCGGCAGGCATAGATCTCCTCGAAGAGCTCGTCGGCGCACCTCCCGATGGACAAGCTGGCGCTCAGGTGCCTCGCGGACGTGAGGTGGGCAGCGGCCGCGCGGTTGTCTTCCGATTCGGCGGCGAGAGCCCCCCCAACCGACACGTTGAATGTCAGAGCCGCTTCGAGCCAAAAGTATCGACGGGCCCCTGCCTCCCCCCTCGCCCCGGGGGCCTTCGCGACGAAAATGCAGGGTACCACGCCAGATATATGACATTCCATGGCTTTACTGTTGGCATATTTCGGGTTGCCCCGGCACCCCGAACCTTCTCCTGAAGTGCGTTTACGGCCTCAGCCTTTTCCCGGGAAGATATCTTCATACTGTGGTCCTGCAAGAGATGCTAAGAATGTTAGCAGTCCCCTGCCGCGTAATCTCCGTCGTTCACCCTCGCCCTTACCCTTGCCTTTTGACCTGAACACCCGTCGGACTGGACGTCGCACCTTCCGAACTGGTTTCTGCATGAAGCGTCTCCATCGGCGGTTGTGCTTCTGGTGTCCTAGGAATGCCCACCTCGCCAGCTGCTCTTCAGTAGTGAGATGCACAGGCATGTCGGAGCAATCCAGGTTACGAATTCCTTCATCTGATGAGGCGCCGGCGCCGGTACCATAATCAAATTCGGACTCCGCGGGTTGCCTGGCCACCTTGTTGGCTTAATGAAGTGGTGGCCTCGTTTGGTTGTGGATCGTCGTTCCAGAGGTTGTTGTCAGGCTGCCCTGCATGAGTGTCGCTATGAAAGACGTCAGTGCGGTGGCCATGGCAGAATACACCACCAATGTTGCCAGGGGTTCGCTCAGCAATATGGGCGTAAGCCCTCATGCGGTCTAGTAAGGCGTCAAGCTGCTGTTGAGTCCTTCGCATTTGGTGGTTCAATGGTTGCAGTAGTTGCTGTGCACGAAATGTACCAACACCTAGAGCTGTAAACCGTATAACTGCTAGGACCTGGAAGTTTGGATGTTGAAACCCGCGGCGTCGGCTTCCAAACGCGCAATCGCGAAGCGGACCAACGTCTCGCCGATCCGTTTTCCCGCATGGACGCGGAATCAATGAGAGCCGTTCTCGAGTTGAGTTGGCGTTCCTCTTCCAGGTGTTCGAAACTAGTGCTGGGGAGGAACGTTGTATAGGTGACGCCATCGGTTCGTTGACCACCGATATTAACACCGAAGTTGGTTACTGCGGGGGGGGCGCTCACGGCCATGGTGCTTGCGAGCTTTCCCAAACCACGCTGTAGAGCCGAAGCCTGTTCGGGGGATGTCATCATGCCTGTGGTCACGTTGATCCAGGCATGTACCTCGCGAGCGAACTCGCGGAAAAGTGCGTTACCGGCAGGGTCCCAATGGGGGCCAGTAGTACGTGTGTCGTCTCCGCCACCCTGCATGTGTCCAGCAACGCATCCGGTAGCGACCCTTGCGAGTGCGCATATGTATATATATACACATACATACATACATACATATATACATATATAGGTGCATATATACATGTATATAAATATACTAGAACCTTCGCGCGCGCTTAGGCTCTAGCCAACCCCAGCCTTGGACAAGGTCAAAGTTACACGTGTGGAAGTCCCGCATATCGTGCGAACATGAGATCGAGAAATGGCAAGCACGCAATCAAACCAAATACGTTTTATGTATGCATGCGTGTATGCTTGTATCCCGGTATATTTATATATATATATATATATATATATATATATATATATATATATATACACATACAAACATGTGTATGCGTACATGCACACATACTTACATCCATGCATCCATGGATGCATGCATGAACAAACACGGAAACACACACATGCATACGTTCATACATGCGTACATTGGAAGGAGAGGCGGCAACGTGCTCCGGCAGCGCGTTTCCGGAGCATGTTGTGCGAGAGGCGCCGTACCAGAATACGCCCAGAGTGGCCGGCAGACGGCCCAAGAACCTCTGGAGACCGCTTCTGACGGGATCTCCTGGGAGCGCCTTGGGGGCCTCTGGGCGGCCTTGTGGGGCCTCCTGGCGGCCTCTTGAGGTAGAAGGCTGGAGCTTTGGGTGCACGGTTGTCCACTGAAGTCTTCATTAGGCACCGAACGCTGGAAGGAGGGGCGGCAACGTGCTCCGGCAGCGCGTTCCCGGAGCATGTTTGGGGGACCTCGGTAGGCAGTTTCGAAGCCTCTCTGAAGCCGTTTTGGGGCCTCTCGAGGCCTCTTTTGGGCCTCTCGGGGGCCTCTTAGTGGCCTTCTGGGCTCTCTTCGGGGCCTCTGGGGGCTTCCTGGGGGCATCTTGGGGCGGAGAGCTCGACTGTTCGGTGCGTGTTCCCTCTCTTGGGCCGCTCTTGGCGCCTTTTTGGGGCTCTCCTGGGCTGTCTTGGGCGGGCCTGGGGACAGTCTTAAGGCTCTCTTGGGCCGTCTTCGGGTTATCTTGGGGGTCTCTTGGGCTGTCTTGGAGCGGTCTGGGGAGCCTCTGGGCCGGTCTAGGAGCGTCGGAAAGCCGAAACAGCGAGGAAGCAAAAAACATAGAAAATACACATGACAATCTAGTATTTTCGCCTCTCTGGCCGCTCGTCGGCGGCATCTTCACGCCTCTTGGGGCGTCTTGGGGGACGTCCTCGGCAGCTTAAGACGCATCGTGGCCCCCTTGAGACACCTGCATGCGGTCTTGGGAGCGTCTCGAGAACGTCTGGGGCCGCCAGGACGGCTGTCCGAGGGCTCCTGCGGCCTTCTACGGGCCCTCTTCGACCTCTTGGGCGGGTCTGGGGGCAGATTTGGGGCTCTCTTGGGCCGTCTAGGAGCTCTGTTGGAGGCTCCTGGGCCGTCTTAGAGCAGTCTAGGGAGCCTCTGCGGCGGTCTTGGAGCGTCGGGAAATCAACACAGCGAGGAAGCAAAAACATTGAAAATACGCATGCTAATCAACGATGTTCGCCTCTCTGGCCGCTCGCCGGCGGCATCTTCACGCATCTTGGGGCGTCTTGGGGGACGTCCTCGGCAGCTTAAGACGCATCGCGGGCCGCTGGAGACACCTGGAGGCGGTCTTCGGAGCGTCTCGAAACCGTCTGGGGCCGCCGGGACGGCTGTCCAAGGGCTCCTGGGGCCTTCTTGGGCTCTCTTGCGCCGTCTTGGGCGAGTCTGGGTGCAGTCTTGGGGCTCTCTTGGGCCGTCTTGGGGCTCTCTTGGGGGCCTCTGGGGCCGTGTTCGAGCGGTCTCGGGAGCCTCTTGGGCGGTCTTGGCGGAAAGCTGAAACAGGGAAAATGCCAAAAACATACAAACAAAGACTCATGAAAATCACCGATTTGGGCCTCTCGGGCCGCTCTAGGGCGGCATCTTGAAGCGTCTTGGGACGTCATGGGGGGGCTTCTTGGGTGGTTTGAAACGCATCGTGGGCGGATGGAGACGCCTGGAAGCGGTCTGGGGAACGTCTCGAGACCGTCCAGGGCTGCCGGGACGGCTGTCTGAGGGCTCCCGACTGCGATTTCAGCCCTCCCAGAGGCGGGCCCGGGCCCCAGGCCCCACATTTGTGGTCGAGGTTCGGGCCCCCGGGAGCGTCCTGCAGCCCCGTGGCCCCGAGGTTCGGGCCCCCGGGAGCGTCCTGTAACCCCGTGGCCCCCATGGGGGTCCGAGGCACCAGTCTGGCGGCCCCAGGTCCCGTTCCCCGATATATCTATATATATACACACACATACATTACATATTATATATACTATATATAGACACACACAGGCATGCATACATACATACATATGTATAGATATATTCCTCCGCGCAGAGTCACTGCACCATGATGTTCCACCATGTCGGTAGTACACCAGATACTACCGTGGATGGTAAGGAGTAGAGCGATAGCTGTCTGGTCGGGGGGCCCAACCACATGTTTCGCCTAAAGCGACACCCGTATCCAACCCTGTAGTACCGTAGTAACGATGGTTCCAAGAGCAGGAAAGAGTCGTGGGAGCGACGAGCCATGTCAAGCGATGATGTTTTCGGTCTCGATGCCAAATAGTGTGCCTCGCGATGAGGCACAGTCATATCTTGGCGGCCAGCCGATTGAGCACAAACGGCCGCGGACAAACGCTCGTTACCTTTGGAATGTGCCCAATCTCCTTTAGAGTAACGGACCCGCCGCCGCTGTACGTTTGCCGAAATCCGCCGGCCGTCCGCCGAAGGTGAGGATGCGCCGAAGGAGAGGCCCCATGTGAAGCGCGCCACGTGGCCTGGTCGAGTAGGAAAGATCTCCCCACAATCGGGTGTTGCCAGAGGTGTCCCTGACCCAAGATGTCCCCAGGATTTCCATGATGGCCCCCAGGGCCTGACGCCCCGAGGGCCCCGGGGCCCAGAGACGGCGCGAGAGGCTGGAGGCACCTTGAGCAAAGAGCACTTCTAGCAACCTCCGACGCAGCAGCCCTGCTGGCACACCCCTGCCCCCCCGGTCTTTTTCCGAGTCTCACAACTTCGCGGCCGGCCGCGGCAACACGTGCACGTGCACGTGAGGCACGGTCTGGCCAGAGTCTCTCCCGTCCTGGATGCCAATGTTGGCACTGTCGGCGCCGTGCCCCGCACACACCGCCGCCTGCACGTCCCGAACGGCCAGGAAGAGGTCCACGAGCTCCTAGCGGGAACCCAGCAGCTCATTCAACGGCATGGGGGGCAGCACAAAGGGCGAGCATTGGCACGTCGCGACTTTGCTGTGCTCATTCGTGGAATCATAAGTCATGTAACCGAATACCTTCGAGAATAAACACTAGGGGATAATAAAGTTCGGGGTTCAGGGGGAGATAATCAAAGTAGCCCACCAGACCTCAGCATAATCCCGAAGTAAGAGATGATCAAGAGGAGACCAAGCCGAGCACGTTTTGAGACATCCTTGGCGTTTAGTCTTCATAGAAATGTCCTCAACAATGGCTTATCTCGCTGGAGACATCCTCGACAAGTCCCTCGATAATAAATGAAAAGGATAAAGAGAAGAGGAAAGGAGGATAAAACAACAAATCTGAAGATTCAAATGTATTAAATGTTATTTACAAGCGCTTTATGAAAATTAAAAAATTTAAGTGCTCGTGTAGGGTAGCTCACGTGCCTCGTTTTCCCTGGATAATCAACCCCAGCGATAAACAAGTTCAGGGCGCCAGGGGGAGGAGGAGGAGAAAGAGATAGAGAGACAGAGAGAGAGACAGAGAGGCCAGGAAGGAGAAAGAGATAGAGAGACAGAGAGAGAGAGAGAGGAAGAGAGACAGAGAAATAAAGAACGAGAGACATAAATAACTACAAAGAGACAGAAGGACATTGGTTTCGCTTGAGACATCCTGAAACAACGTGTTCGCTTCGCTTGATGTTGTTATCTCAACATAAGAAGGCACTAACTTCGATGGCGAACTTTTCCCGTGATAATGAAGTTCGGCCTCCGCGCCCCCGCGCCCCCGACCAAACTCCTATTGGTTGACGATAAAAAACTCTAACGACTTAAGGGGGGGGTAACTTTATTCTCATCGGCATGCGGTTCATGTCACCAGGCTTCCATGCGTAGGTGACTGAGGCACTGAAGGCATCAACTCTTCCAGAACAGCCCGCGTCCCTCGAGGGAGGACCAGTCGAGACAACGGCGGCTCTCCCACCCTATCCAAATCCGCCAAAAATCTGTTCCGGACCCCCCTTGGGGTTGGGCACCGCTGGTGCGACTGGGCGGGGCGCTCGCTCGGAAACCGTCTCGCCACCCTGCTCCGCCCTAGGTGTGCGCGCGCCTGTGCCCGGGCTTGGCCAGAAGACCAGGGAGCTGGAACTGCACATGGCTGAATTCACATGGGCGCACGGGCGACGGTTCTCGACGCCGGCGCTGTGGAGTGGGGCCCCTCTGGGGCCCCAGATCTGGCCGAGATCGGCGCGTTGCCCCAAAACGCCGAACGCGGCCCCCCCAGCATGGTGGATATCCACCCCACCAAGGTTTCGGCCGGCGCCCACGCGGAACATGTGGAGGCCACGCGCTGGGCACGCCTGCGGAAGCCCGACCCGCACGGCCAGGAAAGGACGGAACGCCGGAAAGACATCTGGCCACGCGTGTGTCCAGCTCTCGCCCACGCCGGCCACACCATGTGAATCTCGCTTCCCGGGGGTGCCCAGGATGGCTCAGAGATGGCCCATCGCCCCCGAGGTGGCCCAGCGTGTTGCCTGAGTTGGTCCAAGCCAATATGGTTCCCAGCATGGCTCCCGCGGGGCCCAACTCCTACCCCGAGACGACTCCAAGGCGCCCCTGGGACCTCGACAAGAGGCCAGCCCTGGATGCGAGGATTCGAGGGGGCATCTTTGGGCCATGCTGGAGTGCTCATGTGGTCATGGGCCCACTTCGGCCCCCTCGGAGGCTTCGGGAACATGTTGGGGCCATATGTTGCAACTTGGGGCGCACGTGGAAAGTATTTATGGGTTGGGTCTCGAGTTGGGAAGGCCTGGGCGGTCCTTTGACCCTCTTGGTGATATCTGGGGGTGTTCTCGGGGGCCCTGGAAAAATTGTTTCGGGTCCGCTTGGGCCCCTCTCAACAGCGTTCCTGGGCCATCTCGCGGCCATCCAAAGACCTCAGGGGCCAATCGGGCGCCAAACAAACGAAACCACCCAAATCAAATGACACAACTTTTTGGTATGCGGGGCGAGAGCGAACCTCTTCCGGTAAAAACTAGGCGGGCGACGCACCGCTCTAATTGGGGACGCGCGGCACAGGCGGGCGGGACCTCAGGCGGCCGGAGGGCGGGCCGGGGTGCAGGCGGCGCCGAGGATCTTGCACAAGGAGAAGAACGCCTTGGACAGGAGCCGGAGGCGAAGATCCGGAGGGTGAGCGGTGTGGTGTTGCCGTCAACGGCGCTCCGTAAACACCATCCTCAGGTGCTGCATGGGAGGACGTTGCACGCAATCAGGTCGACGTCCAGGGAGGAGAAGTCCACCGTGAAGGCGATGAGCAAAGTTGTGCCGCCGGACGGTGAGGAGGGGGCCCAGAAGAAAAGGAGGACCACGAAAGCGATGCGCAGCGTTGTGCCACCGGGTGGTCGGAAGCGGCCTGGGGTGGTAGTCCAATCCACGTCCACGGAGCAGCCAGCAAGAGGCGCGGCCAGAGACAGGCCCGTCCGTGTCCGACTGGATGTCGGTGGGGTGAAGGGAGGGAACCTGACCTGCACAGTCAGCGCGTGAAGACGGGCGGTTGCCACACACGATGCGCTGACGTCCGCGTGGCCGAGGGCCGGGCCTGACCCGCGCAGCGCCAAGGCGAGCGGGGCCGCCGAGGCGGCAAGGTGCAAAGCCCAGCACCGGGCCGAAACCGCGCTGTGCCGGGCGCTGCCGCCATGGGGGGCGGGGTAACGAGCGGGGAAAGACGAAGCGAACAGGGAGGAGAGAGGCCGGCATCCCGCGCCAGCCGAAGTCGCGTCAGCCTGCACCGAAGGTGCTCACGTGGGGGGCAAGCCCCCATGGGTACAGGTAGGACACAAGGCCCCAATGCAGGTAAAGACAGGGCGTGCGACGCATCGCCGATGGGTACAGGTGGGACACAAAATCCCAGATCCTTGAACACGGGAGAGGGGAGGGGAGGAGAAGGAAAAGACGGGGCCGCTCGAGGAGATACTTGACGAGCTCCAGGACAACCCACGAGCCATCTGGGGCCTCTTGGAGTGGAGACCATCTTGGGCAAACTTGGCCCAACTTGCGCCACCTTGGAGGCTTCCTAACATTGTCCTACGGAAGGGCTGCGCCCCCAGCACACGAAAGGCGGGGGGAGGGCGAAAGCCCCCCCACCCCACCCGCCGCAGCGCTCGAGACTCTCTCCTTCCCGCGCCAAGGGGATGCACTCCCACCTGGCACTCGAAACTCCCTTCTTCCCGCGCGCGGGGGGGAGAGGGGCCCCCCCCTCCCCCTCTGGCACCAGGGAAGCAAGTACCATCGAATTGGCCAGGGAAGCGTGTTTGCAAAGACCTTCGGGCTTCCCAGGGAAGCGCTCTCGGGTTGATCGGGAAGCGTCCTAGCAGGCAAGGCACCCTCGGGCCGCCCGGTCGGGCTGCCAAGCGTCATCGCAGGCGCCTACGGGTTGCCCAGGGAAGCGTCGTTGCGGGTAGCTTCGGGCGCCTATGGAAGCGTCCTGGCAGGTTCCTTCGGGTTGCCCAGTAAAGCGTCCTGGGAGGCCTCCAGGAAGCGACCTGGCAGGTACCGTCGGGCCGCCCAGGGAGGCTTCCTTGCACATACCTTCGAACGCCTCAAGGAAGCGTCCTTGCAGGTATCTTCGGGCAGCCCAGGGAAACGCTGTAGTAGATATCCTCGGGCTGCACTGGGAAGCGTACTTCCAAGTACCTTCGGGCTGCTCAGGGAAGCTGGGATGCCCATGGAGGCGTCTTCGCATGTATCTCCGGACTGCCCCAACAAAAACGTACTGGTAGGTACCGTCGGGAGACTCTTTCCTCCCCGCGTGTTACCTCCCTTCCCCACCCCCCTCTCCGGCACTCGAGACTTTTCCCTTTTCGAGCGCTGGGTAAGGCGCGGGCGAGTAGACTTGCACGAACTGTCGCTTCCCAAGCGTTGCCACACGTGACGAGTAAAGTGGAATAGGCGATTTTGTTGTTCCGACACGCTGCGTTGCCACGTGGCGAGTGGAATGGGGTGATGCCCCTTTCGCCCCGCAGGCGGTGCCCGTGACCAAAGCATTGGAATGTTGTGTGTTTCTGGCCCGCCGCGTTGCCACTTGCGAGAAAAACAACATTGTATGTCCTTCGCCGCGCTGCGAGTACACTGGACTAACACGTGTTTCGCCCTCAAGGCGATACCGCGTGACGCCTTGAGCGGAATGGTAGTTTTTGTTTCAGCCCCTCCACAATCGAGCGTAACCATGTGTTGTAATCATGCCTGCTGCATTGCCGCTTGGCGAATGTAATGGGATGATACTTGTCTCCCCCATCCCAGGCGTTGCCGAATGACGAGTCGGGTGGAATAATACTCCCCCCGCCCTCGAATGGAATTGTACTTTTTTTCCAGCCCGCTGCATGGCAACTTGGCGAGTGTAATGGATGACATTAGCTTGCCCCCATAAGACGTTGCGGCGTGACAATTAAAGTGGAATAATGTTGTATTCCACCCCGCTGCGTTGGCGAATTTAGTGGGAATGTATATCCACCGCCGCGCTGCGATGCCCCGTGGCGCCTGAAATATGTTAGACAGCGTGGACCCCGCACAATATAGCTTGTGCAATATGTGAGGAGCGATCAATATGGCGCAACCTACGTGGTGCAACACACATTGTGCAGTCTATGTTGCGCAATATGTTGCACAACATAAACGGTACAATCTATGTGGTGCGATCGGTATGGTGGGATAAATGTGGTGCAAAATATGGTGGGCACAATATGCCATGCACTATATGTGGTACAGTCTACGTTGTGCAGCCCACTTTGACAGTCTTGAAGCTGTCCTCTCTACTGCTCGTGCAAACATCCCACCCTCCCACCAACAACTTGGTCGCAGAACTTCTTAAGACAAGACCGTGACGGTAGGTACCACATGGCACTTGGCCACGACACCGACGCCGACGACGACAGCGACAACGACGACGACGGCGCCACAGCCACCGACTACGACGACACCGCCGA